TCTCTTAAGTATTTCTTTTAGAGCAGGTTAGATGATGCATCTTCTATGGTTTTACAATGTCTAAATGTTTCCTATATCATTAATTAGAACTAAATTTGTCCACACTTTTACTTTTGTTATAGGGATAGGAGTATATGTGTAAGGTTTTTTTAGGAATTTGCTGGGGGGTTTCCGATTAAAGTTTTCTTTGGTTTCTTACAATTCTAATGAAATGGGACCTGCGCTTTTCCAATTTCTGCAGATGATGGTTTAAACTACAGTTTAGAAGTAGAAGGCTAATTAGCCAGAGAGGCTCATTGTTCATAAGCAGCAATTCACAGTCCAATTACAATTCTTTTTTTTTGTGAGTTGAATTCAATAACATCAATGAACTTACCAGTTTTCTCCTAACTTATGTATTTTTTATGTCACAGTGATTACCCTGATGCACAATCTTTCAATTAGTTAGCCACTCCATACTCGAATCTTTGTCATTCAGTAACTGAGCCAAAGTCACGATCATTAAGAGCTTTTTTTCCAAGCCAAGCACAACATGGAAAACAGGCTACTTCAAGCTCACAAAGAACTATTTTATTAAGATCTGAGTTTTAGTTATTTTTACTAAATGGATCAATAACATTGTTTTTAATGATACATGGTTTGGTTATTTTTCATAGCGTTTCATCCTATGAAACGCTTTTAATTATTTTTTTTAGGATTTCATCCTCGAACATCGTCTTTGGAGTTGCCATGAGCCATAGCAATTGTAGTTTTCATCTGTTATGCTGAAGCTTCATTCATGAAATGCAGTCCACTCCATGAATAGATTAATAAACTTGGCTTCATAAGGTGTAAAAAAACATGGTTCCATAAGTTGAGTTTTTCCTTTAATGCTCCATATGCATCTACTTTTTATGTTGTACATTTATCATTTGTAAGCATGGCTAGGGTGCAATTCTTATACAAGAAGAGCAAAACAACAATAATATGGAATATATTTCAAATTGCTTGCAGAACATCTTTTTAATGAATTGGTGCTTTGCATTTGTTTGTGAATAATGAGTTCAAATCTCTTTTAAAACTTAAAAGATTTGAAAAATCGCACTCGAGATTGTGTTGGACCGGTTGTTATCTATATGATATTTGTGTATGGAAAGAAAACACATATTTAACAATAGAACCAGATTGAATGTTATTTGGTAGATAAGAATGTGAATTGTCTGATTTCAAGGAAAAATATTATTATACGGAGTATGTAGTATTGAAAAGCAATGAGATTAATAGAAAAATCAATTATTTTTGACTGTCAACTTTTTACTATGAAAACATTCCATGTTAAGATTTTGAGAGTAAGTAATGTTTTTACTTGAACTGGATAGTTGTGAATAACATAAGGGAAAATGGAAACTAATAATCCAACCTTTTAGCGATCTTCTTTCAATAATCCCACTTTTTGATTATTCATGAATAATCCAACCTTTGCACCTCATCTTCATTCACTGGTCCCTGACCGGTTGATGACTTGCTATTCCAAGCTATTTTCTTATCTTTGCAAATCATTATACCTTAAATCTTATCTTTCACAAAGATAATATTTTGCAAAGATAAGAAAATAACTTGGAATAGCAGGTCATTAACCGATCAGGGACCAAAGAATGAAGATGAGGTGCAAAGGTTGGATTATTCATGAATAATCAAAAGGTGGGATTATTGAAAGAAGACCACTAAAAGGTTGGATTATTAGTTTCCATTTTCCCATAACATAAAGACCAAACATCTTTTAGATTAGATCATATTTAAACAGACTGGATTTGACTAGATTATAAAAAAAAATTAGTCCAATTAAAAAAAAATGCTAAAATCGCCATGGGATTACACAAGTGAATATGACTAACCTATGGACTTCAACTTATTTGCCAAGTGGTCAACGCCAATTTGTTTGCATAAATACAACTATTTCTAGGAATTTAAATGTTTAAAAACATAATGGTGCATTTGAACCAAGCATTCCAGCCCAGCTGGTTGTGAGGTTACCATGCATAGTGGGAGGTCTCGAGTTCGAATTCCGCTAGACACACAAGGGTTGGAAACTCAATGGAGTGAGTTTCAACCCTGATTACTCCAGACTCCCCCAGTCCCCCTCCCCCAAACCCCCCTGGAGTAAAAAAAAAACATAATGGTGCATTTGACATTAAGCAGTTAAACGATAACAAATTATGTTAGCAGGTTATCAATAGCAGATTCAGTCAGCGAGTTTGATTAGCGGAATAAGTTGACAGGTTGTGAAAAGATGTTTGATAATTTTGCTGTTTGGTCACAATAATTAGTAGAAAATGCTACATTTCAAAACGCTAACTCAAAACTTTTCTGTTTGCAGCGCTTTTCATTTCAGCGGACCCGCCTAAAAGCGCTAAGGCTGAACAGTTATTTACCAAAAAAACACTTTTACTTACTGAAAACGCTAAAAAAGTCAAACCACTATTTTGGCTCAAATGCTATTTTCCAAACAACCAAATATGGAAATGCATCCCGTGCAACGCACGGGTGAAAAATCTAGTATGCTACAACATTTATTAGTGCATTAAGTTCAATCAAATATACCACTACAAACTTTACTACGTTGTGTTCAAATAACAAGCACATTATTATGTTAAGTTCAAATAACAATCAACAGCAATTACTACCATTACTATTTTATAAAATTAGGAGTCAATTTTAAAAGAGTTTTTTACAAGAATATTACTAAAATAAAACTTATTTACATAAATATGACTATTCATTACTACAACGTAGTATTGTGGTAACTTAAAGTTCAAAACTTGAATATGAATTACTATGATTTCATTACTACTCTAGTAACTACTCATATTTTTGTAAACCATCTTTATTTTGGTCATATTTATGTAATTAAAGCATAGTAGCTGAATTTAAGTATAATAGCTTAATATGTTTTATATAATTTACAAATAAAATTAGTAATAGGAAAATACATGGATTAATGTCACGTGTTTGTATGAATCATTGATAATGAGAATATTCCACTAATATTACTCTTTGAAAAGTAGTGGACAAAAATGTGACTTAGTAACTTTTAATGACTATAATTGTATTCAAAGTTACTACGGTATAGTGACTACGATAGAAACATTGAACACAATTACAGTGACTACAATTATAGTTACTACGGTATAGTGACTACAATAGAAACAATGAACACAATTATGTTACTAAGTCACAATTTTGTCCACAACTTTTTTCTTAGTAATATTTTAGGAAAAAACATCCAATATCTTTATTATTTATTGGGCATTAGCTTTCGCGCATTGCGCATAAAAATAGCAGTATTATGATAGGTGGGAGTAACATAATTCTATCGATCGACTTTCGTCACTATTAGTCAACTCGGTCAATTTTTAAGCTTAAACATCAAATAACGAATTTAACCCCTAAATTTAGGATTTGATTTCTCGGTTAATGAATTTATGTGTGTATTGATCTAAAAAAAGACACGATGAAAAATAAGAAGGAATCTTATATAATTATATTTTGGCTTGAAAAAATGGAAGTGTCAAGAAGAACAACGACACTGTTAAACTATACTCCGTATTACATTATTGTGGAATTAGCGATCTCGAATGATAAATTGGGTATTTTTTGTTCTGTATCTCATCCAATTCTTTTTTGGGAAAACTGTCAAATAGGTCCTCGAACTTTCATAAAAAAGTCAATTAAGTCCTTCTATAGGTGACTCTGTCCGGTCGTCGCAATTTGGGGCGGTTCTCGGTGAAATTTTTTGATGAATTTTTTAGCATCTGATTCATCAAGTCTAGTTTATTCATACCAAATTTCAGCTAAAAATTTAATCGGGAGTGCATTCAAATTAATTCGAGAACGCAAAAATGCGCAGTTATCTTCAAGAATTAATTTGAATGTGTTCCCGATTGAATTTTTAGCTGAAATTTGGTATGCGTAAACTAGACTTGGTGAATAAGATGCTCAAAAAATTTCATCAAAAAATTCCACCGGGAACTGCCCCAAATCGCGACGGCCGGACATAACCTCCTATAGAAGGACTTAATTGACCTTTTTATGAAAGTTCGAGGACCTATTTGACAGTTTTCCCTTCTTTTTTTTACTTCAGGGGGGTTGGAGGAGGGGGACTGGGGGGGGGGGGGGGCTGGAGTAAACAGGGTTGAAATTCACTCCATTGATTTTCACACCCTTATGTGCCTAGCGGGATTCGAACTCGAGACCTCTCACTAGGCACGGTATCCTCACAACCAGCTGAGCTGGAATGCTTGATTTTCACACCCTTATCTCATCCCATTCTAACCTTAGACTATTCATTCTCTTGTATCGTTAATATCTTTTAATAATAAATGAGTTATTTGTTTTTTGAAAAAAATGGAAGGGTCAAGTCGTGTTGGCATATCTGTTCTCACGGGAAAAATCAATGACACCGGAACAAAAAATGCACCTCTTTATTTTAAAAGAGAATGAGTTGTTATTGGAAATAATAAAAAAAATGACCTAATTTTAGTGATTAATATTCATTACAAAAACACAGGATTGAGTGATTGACAGAGATTCATCAAAATTCATTGAGAATTTGGCAAAGATATGTCAAATTCGTTCCAAAAACATTTTGACACAAACTATTTCGCTCGAAATCATCAGTAAATCTGTGTCAAATCCATGCAAATCTCGTAATTTTTTGTAGTGATTGTAGTATTCGTTGTAACTTTGATCATAATAATTTATGATCAATTTTTACACTTAACTGACCATAACACTATATACTCAAAATGACTATAATTTAGTCATATATTATTTTTGTAAATGGGTTTTATTTTAATTAGTAATATTTTTGAGAAAAAATGTTATTAATAAAAGTCATGGCATGGGAAGATAGACATGAAATGCGAATTAATAAAGTGGAAACGTGGAGATATATACAGAAATTATATATAGATGATTTGTACTTATATTTCAACGCAATTCACTTTTGTCATTAAACATTACACATTTGAATTGTAGAAATCCTTTTTGTCTTCCACAAAAGCAAAAAGCTAGATCGAGTAAAAGATGGCCGGAGGTGGGAGTGGAAGATCATTGGAGGAAACGCCGACGTGGGCTGTTTCCGTGGTGTGTTTAGTTTTGGTTGGAGTTTCCATCCTCATTGAGTACATCCTCCATCTTATAGGAAAGGTAGGTTAATTTACTGCCTCTCGATCTTATTAATCGCATTTCTTGATCTTTTAACTACTATTTTTAAAATTAATTTCTGTTATTAGACCTAATTAATTTGAGTTATTAGTGTGATGAAGCTAAGGTGCAATTTTTCTATTTTAAGTTTTTTTTTTTAATTATGTGTTTATTGGTTGCAGTGGTTGAAGTTGAAACATAAAGTAGCCTTATATGAAGCTCTAGAAAAGATCAAATCAGGTACCAACAATAATGCGCAAAAGGATTTAGAAAATGCAATGATTTTTTACTTGAATCATTGCATTTAAGTAAATTGGATTTTATATATACGAAATTTACTTATAGTTTATATGTTTATATATATGTTAATGGTAGATCACATCCGTTTGTAGTTTATAGTTTGTCTACATTAATATTAGTCAAGCAACACACATGATGAACGCACATGAGTAAGTTGGTTTGACTCTCGCCTTTTTTTGTTTTTACTCTCGGTTTGATCTTTGATTCTTTGATTTCATCCTCAATTTTATCTTTTTTTTTTAATCTTTGTTTATATTCTTATTTTATCTGTATTTTGACTCGTTATTTTATTGAGATTCAGATTTGAAACAAGTGGTTTGCTTGGTATAATTCACAGTTTACACTTTTTATACATTAACAAATCACACAAATTTTGGAAAGATCAATACTTCCTCGGCCGTTAATGGATGAGCCCGGTTACTAATACACGTTTTAAAAGTTTATACGTTTTTACACTTGTGTGCGCAAACATTTTTGTGTGCGTGAAAACAATATTCACAGACAAAAAAAGCTAAAATTCCATTTTGGTCATACAAGTATCACACCAATTCCACAATTGGTCCACGTCTTTGACTTTAACAATTTTTGATCCACATATATGGTCCTTCTGCAATAACTGCGGTGGTTAAAATCGCCGAAAAGGACGACAAATGGTCAAGAAACACTAGTCAAGTATCAAAATTCAAAAGTAGACAAAGTGAAAGACGTGAATTAAATGTGGAAATGAAGTAAAACTCATAGGACCAAAAGTGGAATGAGATATTTTGACTTTGCACCCCGCTTTTTGGTTGATATTAGACTTTGCACCCTATTTTCAAAACTCTAACACTTTGCACCCTATTTCCCCTAAAATGTCTTTGCCTTTGCACCCCATTCAGGATTTGTTCTTCACAAAATGTTGTGGATAGAGTGCAAAGTCTAAAAGTTTTGAAAATGCGGTGCAAAGTCCAGTATCAACCAAAAAGTGGGGTGCAAACTCAAAATTCCTCAAGTGGAATTGATTGCATAGACAAGTGTTAAAATTAAACGTTTAAATTATGAAACGTATACAAATAGAATTGCTCATATTGGAATTGGTGAAATATTGGAATTGGTGAAATATTGGAATTGGTTGAATCTGTTAGATTTTGAATGAAATATGTGGTTGAATTGGTTGAATCTGTTAGATTTTGAATGACATACGTGGCTTAATTGGTTGAATCTATTGAACTATAGAAAATTATATTTAAAATGTATCTCACTAATAAAATTTTAAAAAGTTATATGAGAATAGATAAAATGGTCCACTACAATTACGTCAATCAATTCAACTTGAAAAATAAATTCAATCTTAATTACTTACTTTTAATTTGTTAGGGAGTATTACACAACTAACTCAGCACACGAATTCAACGTTTGGTAAAAAAAATCAACAGATAAGCAGATAATCTAAGATCGGGCTTTTTCTTCATTTTTATATGGATTTGAGTATTTCATTTCGACAGATTTAAATTGGTGTATATTCTAATGCAGAACTTATGCTGCTGGGATTTATATCATTGATGCTAACTGTGTTGCAAAGCCCAATTTCGAACATATGCATTCCCGCGAGCGTCGGAAACACGTGGCTTCCGTGCAGCAAAAAGAGAGCACAAAAGTTGGAGGAGTCTAAAGCCTTGGAACTGTCGCTGCCGGGCGATATTGACGGCCGCCGGAGACTTCTCGTCAGCGGAGGAACGCGGCGTGTTCTGGCAGCTGGAGCTGACAAATGCGCTCTTAAGGTATTTACATAATTTGCGATTATTTTTCTCAAACTCCGTAGCACGGCCATAGGCCCGTGGGCGTGTGCTTTTGCAGAGGACCTCCAAATATATAGGACCCATTTTTTTGTAAAATCTATATAATGTATATAAGGCCGCCCATTTGAAAATAGTTGATAAATTTATTTACCAAAGGAAAAAAATCACTTTTTCTTATTTTATTCGTTCATTTCCGATTTTAGATTTTTTACTAATTTTTTTTGTTCAAGTTTGAAAAAGTGATCATTTCTTAATCTCACATTTGCTTGTAGCTTTTTTGGGGTTTCTTAAGGTTGATTTTTGGTTGTATTGATTTATTATAAGGCCAATTTTTCGTGACTTAATTTCACCGGGTCTCCTAATATATTGAGTCGGCCCTGCTCCATAGAATATTAATTGAATTGTTTCAAATAAATTTGAGTCAAGAATAGGAGAAATATAAATTTTTATTATAAGAAGCTAAGGTACGGATTATTATTTAAGAAAGTATGCGGCAGTCCTCATTGACAGTATGATTTTTTGATGACATGACAATACTCTTTTATTTAGAAGAAAATAAAATTACATGCATATTGTTTAATACTACATATATACTTCGTATGTTTTAATCACATTTATTTGCAATCTATGTTTTGATAAATACACTCCCTAATACATCTTCCAAGAACATTCAATTTTAATAAATTAAGGCAACAAAATGTGTTGATCTCATATATTTAATTTGGCTCATTTCTCATTTTTTCATCAAAACAAGCAATAATTATATATATCGGGTCTCCCTACTATATCCATTCATCCAAATCTACTAATGGAAAACAAAATTTCAATCAACTTCTTTCTTCTTATGTATCTTCAAAGAACATAAATCTAAGGGTTTTTTTCTCTAAAGAAGCTCACAAATTTTGGTACTTCTAAAACTTAATTAATCAAATCTTTTATATTCTAATAATCGTCTAATAATCTTCAAATTGGTTTGCGATTCGTATTGCTTTTTAAGGAATGATTTTCTCTGAGTCTAGCCGTAGGGTGAATAGTTCTTGTTGGTTAATGATAGTTATTGTTAGGATTAGTTTTTTTGAGTTTGATGTAACGATCCAATTAAAAAAGATATTAGTATAAGTGGTTTGTTTTTATGATAAAAAACAATAACCTCTTTAAATTTTACTACGTACCGTACTCCGTACAATTTAGTGGAGAGTTGTGAACTAAATCAAATTATTGAATGATCTTTCCTGATGATCTTTGCATTTATCATGTAGATTGCCACAAAGATGATTTCATATTTCATATATACATTGTCACATTATATATATATAGAGAGTGCTCTTCATGTCAGGCCGGCCTGACGGGCTGCCCCGTCCGGCCGAACCCGTTTGGGCACCTTCCCGGTGGAATTTTTTGATGAAATTTTTTGAGCATGTTCCTCGTCAAGTCTAGTTTGTCCATACCAAATTTCAGCTCAAAATTCGATCGGGAAGGTCGTCAAATGATTTGGAATATGTATTTTCCGGACCAGTTAACTTGCAAAAATCATTGGCCGGACGGGCTCGGCCGGACGGGGCAGCCCGTCAGGCCGGCCTGACATGAAGTTTCCTATATATATATATATATATATATATATATATATATATGAGTATGGATCAAATGAGAATAACATCTTAGGAGAGAAATAAGAATGCATCTCCATCTTTGATTTAAGGGATAAGGGTCAGATAGGGCCTCGAACTCGAAAAAAAATGTCAAATAAGGTCATATTTAGGATGCTCTGTCCGGCCGACGCCATTTGGGGCGGTTCCAGATGCCATTTTTGATGAATTTTTTTTAGCATCTTCCTCATTAAGTCTAGTTTACCCATACCAAATTTCAGCTAAAAATTCAACCGGGAAGGTAGTCAAATGATTTTTTGAAGATAATTGTGAAGTTAAACAACCCCGTACATTTTGGAAAATCATTTGACTACCTTCCCGGTTGCATTTTTAGGTGAAATTTGGTATGAGTAAACTAGACTTAATGAGGAAGATGCTCAAAAATTTTCATCAAAAAATTTCATCGGGAACCTCCCCAAATGGCGTCGGCCGGACAGAGCATCCTAAATATGACCTTATTTGACATTTTTTTTCGAGTTCGGGGCCCTATCTGACCCTTATCCCTTGATTTAACAAATGCCTTAACGGACAAACTAACGCTGTGTTTACTACACTGTTAGAGCTTTCCACTCATCCAGTCACCCATATATTTCGTATGTTGTAGTATATACGAAGTATTACGTAACTTCTTCTTGGCAAGGCACTCACGTAACTTTTTTTTATTTTTTAAATACTTCTTCTATTTCCATATTTCTTAATTCCTAATAAATTCATTATTGTACTTTTTTTTATCTAGATTCATTTAACTTTCAAATAAGTTTGAAAATTTCTATCCATTTGGAAATCTAGATATACTAAATTTATTTAGGCACGTCTAAAGTAATATTTACTTTGAGTGTATATTTTTTTTTACAAATATATTTTGTATGTACTTTTTGTTACTTGGTGGTGCATTGTGTTTATTATTATTGTTAAAGTTATATTATTATTATTATTAAAGTTCAAAATAGTTTGTATAAGAATAGTTAAGCAAAAGTAAATGATAAACATGCACAATAACATTCCTAAAAGTGCATATTATTTACTTTTAAGTTTGCAAGGGCATTCTAAATTAGTTAGTATAAGAAGTGCATACCTTTGTGATAAAAAACACCACTAGAATAATAAAGTTGCACATCAATTTCATTTGAATGACAAAATATACTATGACCCCTCTTAGCATAAATTATTTTTCAATTCGATCATGAAGTTAAGGATCACATATATATCATTGAAAATAGATATATCATATAGTGAAAAATCGGAGTTTAAAAATAAATGTAAACATATACTCGTAAATGATAAAACCATAATATATAGGAAAAATTGAAAATAATAATCTCAACTATTGCCGGTCCGCTGAAAATAATCCCAACTATTGATTATTTTTGTATAATCCCATCTATATAGACTATCCGCCAATAATGGTCCATGACCATATATTACCTCTACAAAAAGTGAATTTTAAATAGAAATTAAGCGTAAAAATTAAAAGTTGAGATTATTTAGAGGGATTACTTGTTATATCTCACTCCATCCACTTTAGAAACTACAAGAATTTATTCATAGGGACCATTATTGGCGGAAGGTCCCTAAAGTTGGGATTATTCTATAATAATCAATAGTTGGGATTATTATGAGCGGACCGCCAATAGTTAGGATTATTACTATCAATTTTTCCTAATATATATAATATTTCTAAAATTTCATATGTAGTACTCCGTATATTTGTAGTTTTACCGTAGCCATATTTAATGATAAAAGTGCATAATTGTATTGATATGAGTGCACTACTTAAGTTGTCTATTATTCATTTTCATATAAAGATTGAAAATATAAAGTTTTTTTAATGAACTAAACTAGATCACATATATATTGTCAGAGTAAGGATCGTATGAGAATAACATCTTAGGAGTAAAATGGGAATTATTCTGGAGGGTTGGTTGGATTTGTGTACTATGCATCATGCATAACAGAAATGTGCATATAAAAATAGAAAATGTGCATTTCAACTGTGCAAAAGTTTAAACGTAAATGTGCACATTTGATTTGCATTACTTTAACTATAATGTGCATTTTCGTGAACGATAAAATGCATAATTTTGGAGCATTCCCATTTCTTACGTTAAGAAGTGTTGTCACGTTAATGTGCATTCTTTTTTGAAAAAAAAAACAAAAACATTATAATTAAGGTGCAGTTCTGGTGATTACACTCCTTATCGTGAGAAATAAGAACGGTCTAAAATGATGCACTTTAGGGTTCACGAAAATGCACATTTAAAACATTTATATCATAAAGTGCATAATACTTTGTTTATGAATAAATATGCAGATACAAATCACAAAAGTGAACAAAATAATGTTTAAAAATGTTTATTTATTTGGTATGTAAGTGCACAATTGTTTAGTTAAAAATAAAAGTGCACAACTTTGCAATATGAGTGCACAACCAAAATTAGATATTTGCATACTTTGGAGAAAACATTACATAGTATATATAAATAAATGTTACGAAGAATTTATGTGCATTATATTAATTGATGATTAAAAATAAAACTAATAACAAACATAGCATATCAATTGAGGCAACTATGAAAAAGTAACTAAAGTTGGTTAAAAGTAAAAGTGCACTATGTATAACACGTAGTTATTGATTTTTATATTCATTTAATTAGCCATATGTAAATTAAATGAGAGAAAGTCGGCTATTGCTAGTAACGAAATCAAACTTGCGGATTTTTCAATTACGCTCACGTTAAGTATCCCGTTAGTTGTCTAAACTTTTGACTAATTACATACATGCTACCGTTTAAAACTTAATTGCAATCGTAGATCAATTGTTTTGGATGGATGTGATTTGTTCTTATTTCTCTCCTAAGCTACCATTCTCACTTGAACCGCACCCTATATATATATGTATATATATATGCATCTATATATTCTAGAACTAGATCGAATTACAATAATGTAAGCGTCAATGTACATCTCTCCCTCTGGCCGAAAGGATTGAGTATATATAATTTGAATCTCTGGCCTAGAATCATGTGACCTGAAATCTTTAATCTATTGCAATGTATGGTTGCCAAAATCAAGAGATGTAATTAAACAATAAGTAGGATAGACTTAGGTCCACTTTCCATGCACGCGATGGGCGGAAGTAGGGACGGGACACACTAAGCTCCAACCCACCTCAAATTTTAAAAAATGTTCGATGGCTTCCGTTCTAGTCCCAATATTCATAAAAGGGTTCCAGTACCCGTCAATAACTTATTCGAAACCATGGAGGATACACATTAGGGCTAAGGTGAGTTGTAGCTAAGGACAACTTATTTATTTCTAATTCTTTTAGTGTATTTTTTTTTTTCATTTTTTCATACTTTAATCACTCTGCTAATGTTTAATCGTAGTATCATTGATTTTTAGCTCAGTCCTATCCAAATTCCTCAATCTGTCTGGAATCAATTCCACTCCAAATTATGAACAATGTCAACGATTGCTTGATTTTGCTCGTAACATATACTTGTAATCCTTTAACTTTCCTTAATGTTCTTCAAGTTGCTTTCCCATTTTATACACGGAATTTTACTAAACCTAGTTAATTGTTACACTATGCTTGCTAAACGTATTTAATTTCATAATTTCTTTGTTTTCAGGGAAAAGTGCCGTTAGTGTCTACAGATGGAATTCATCAGTTACATATATTCATATTCGTTTTAGCCGTTTTTCATATCTTCTATTGTGTCACAACTTTGGCTTTGGGGCGAGCCAAGGTAATTTATTCACTAAAGAGTACCATTAATTATCCTCATTAGATTTTTATTTTGTTTAATCTAATATAAAATTTCATTTTTAAATGGATTATTATTTTAGATGAGAAGATGGAAAGCATGGGAAAAAGAAACAAGAACGGCAGAATACAAATTCGCTCATGGTAAATCAGTAATTGTTCATCATTGAGTCCATTATATATATATACATACATACATATATATATATATATATATACATACATATATATATATATATATATATATATATATATATATATATATATATATATATATATATATATATATATATATATATATATAAACTGCCCAGTTAACTTCACAAAATTATTTGAATGCCTTTCCGATCGAATTTTGAGCTGAAATTTGGTATAGATAAACTAGACTTCATGAAGAACATGCTCAAAAAATTTCATCAAAAAATTCCATCGGGAAGTGCTCGAAATGCCCTCGGCCGGACGGCGGTTCCCGTCAGGCCGGCTGGACAAGAAGACTACTATATATATATATATATATATATATATATATGGAGCGGTTCCGGTAAGAACAGATCTTAGGAGAAAAATGAGAACGAATCTGGACCGTTGGATTGTATTATGTGGAAGCAAATTGTGCATTTGGTGAAACTGAAATGTGCATTAAATGATATTGAAATGTGCAAAATAAAAATTTAAACTCAGGTGTGCATTAGATGAAACTGATATGTGCGAAAAAAAGTACAAAAATAACATCACATCGTACTTTTTATTCTGCACATTTCAGCTTCACCTAGTGCACATTTCAATTTCACGTAATGCACAATTCAACTGCATATAATGCCACTCTATCGTACCCTTTGTGATGCACATTTCAATTTCACCTGATGCACATTATAGTTTCATCTAATGCCCACTGAATTTCATTTGAAGCAAATCTAACGGCCCAGATTCGTTCTCATTGCTCTCATAAGATCGTGTTCTTATTTGAACCAAAACCTATATATATATATTCGTTTTTTGTTAAATTTAATTAATGTCAGATCCAGAGAGATTTCGGTTTGCTAGAGAGACAACATTTGGAAGAAGACATTTGAGCTATTGGACAACAAGACCCATTCTTCTCTGGATAGTAAGTGGTCTTACATTTGTTCTTGATTAATTGCAACTAATTACATATGAGTTGTAGGATATATGCACATACTCTAGCTAGTTTCATGAAATTTAATTAATTGGTGTATTAAATTTAATATTGTGAAAAAGATTAAAGTAGTTTCCATTAAATTATGAATTTAACAACTACTTAATTAATCACTTTAGTTTCACAATATTCTTCACTTTAGTAAATTTTTTGGTTTACGTACAATACCATGGTGCCTATATTTTGGCCCAATAGTGAAGCATAAGAAATACCACGTGCAAGACAATAGTTATAAAAAGGTTGTGACAACTGGCAAGTGATAACCTTGACTAACTAGCAAATCGTGGACAAATAAGTAATACTCCGTAGAAGGCAATATATATGTAGTTTTTTTAAGTTATGAATTGAAACTAAGAATGATTAGCTCATAACTTCATAAGAGACAAATTAAACATTTAGCTAATATAGTCAAACATAAAAATATAAATAATAAATTAAAATACTAAAAACAGTAAAGTACTACTCCAATTACTACGTAACAATTCTCATGATGATGATGAAGCTAAGATACCAAAATAAAACGAGTACTACGTAACAATAATAACAAGAAATAATAAAAAGAATAATCTTTAAAGAATCATTGCGATTATTAATATTACTTTTGCCGTTTCAAATGGTGATATTTTTATAATCAAGTACATTCCCCACCTAATTAGCATTAATTTGCGGTATTTTTTTTTTACGTACAGGTGTGTTTCTTTCGACAATTCATACACTCTGTACCCAAAGTTGATTATCTAACCTTGAGACATGGATTTATCATGGTATGACAAACACATAAAAATGAAAAGTTAAACACACGCACGCACGCACACGCGTACACGCATACACGCGCACACGCGCACACGCACATGCACACGCACGCACATAAAAGATGAAACAGCCTTGCTTACGGTGCAAAGAAATCGGTTCTATTTCACGGTGATAGAAGATCAAATTTAATTATAAATCTCTCAATAATCTTTATTGGTAAGGAAGAGGTATGTATTTATACCCGTAAACATACATAATAACATAGGAATATGAATCCAAAACAAATACTAATCCTACTGGGTAGGAATAAACATTATACTCCAACTCTACTAGCTAAATAATATTAATACGGAAACAGAAAGTTTAAAAATAATCTGGCAGCACTCCGGCCTACTTCTAATTTACCACGTAGTCTTGAAGCCTCATTGAGCTCTTTCTTGCTCGTTTACTTTGTCGGTGATTAAACTCGTCTTCATCATTGCCTCCTTCAGGAGGTCGAACCTTGTCCTCAAGGTTGAAGGCAGGGAATTGACATTTTATAACCTCCCTTGGCACCCATGTGGCCTTATCAGGTCCCAAATCAGCCCATTATATTAATACTTCCTGATGCACTCCCTGCTTAGTACAAACAGAGCGAGACTGGAGCACTCTCTTTGGTTCAAACACGGGCTGTCCATCCCCATAATATGGTGGTAGCGTATGTCTGGTTGCAGCTAAGACGCCTATCCCTTTTTAAGTAAGAAAACATGAAACACCAGATGTACTCGTTAATTCTAAGGTAAGTCAAGTCTGTAAGCTACTTCTCCAAGCTTTTCCAGTATCTTAAAAGGCCCATAAAATTTACAAGCTAATTTTTGAGATACCCTGCGAAAGATCAACTGCTGGCGGAAAGGTTGAAGCTTGAGATACACATAATCACCCACATCATAATGGACCTCTCTCCTTTTTCTATCAACCATTTGTTTCATTTTATTAGAAGCCAGAACCAAGTTGCTACGTAACACCTATATAACCTCATTGAGATCACGCAACTGAACATCAACTTCTGCCAAAGGAGATTGCCCGTCCACATGCGATCTTAACATGGGAGGCGTTCGATCGTATAGCCCTTCAAATGGAGTCATTCTCGTGGACCTGTGATATGAAGTGTTGTACCAAAGTTCAACCCAAGCCAGATAAGCTCCCCATTTGGTAGGAAAGTTATGAACGAAGTATCGCAAATATTGACCCAAACAACAGTTCACTACCTCAGTTTGGCCATCAGTTTCTGGGTGGTATGCCGAGCTTGTTTTTAAGGTAGTTCCTTGGAGGCGGAATAATTCTCTCCAAAATAGACTCATAAATATATGGTCTCTGTCGCTTACTATTGTTTCTGGGAACCCATGAAGACGCATTATATCCCGTATGAAGGTTGTTGCGACGTCTTTAGCTTATAATGGGTGGGATAATGGTGAAAAGTGTGTATATTTGGTGAGTCGATCAATGACCACTAACACACTATATTTCCCTCCTGATTTAGGCAGTCCTTCCACGAAATCCATACTGATGTCTGCCCATACTTTTGTAGGTATCGGTAATGTTGTCAACAACCGAGCTGGTGCAAGTGAATTGGATTTAGCTTGTTGACATGTACCACACTCTTGGACATACTTATTTACTGCCGAGCGCATCCCTGGCCAATAAAAGGTTTGTTTCAAGCGTTGGAATGTGCATAATACCCCCGAATGACCCCCAATTGCAGTGCTATGGAACTCACAAGCTTCTGGCGTAACTCCTGTAGGTAAGAATCATCCCGTGTAAGCCGACGAATATCATCCCAAATTGCCCATATTGGCCCGGTAATTGTTGTCGCTGTTATTTGATCTTCTATTTTCAGTGGGTTTTGTCGAGAGAAGGCGTCATCAGCTTTGGTCATAACCCCTGGCTTGTACACAATGAAATGATCAAATCCCAGTAATTTATCAATCCACTTTTGTTGTTCTGGTGTGGTTATTCGTTGCTTTAAGAGTTGTCCCAAACTCTTCTGACCAGTCTATAAGGTAAAACGACGTCCCAGGAGGTATGTCTGCCATGTTCGGAGCGCTTCAACAATTGCTAACATTTCCTTGGCATATGTGGACCATGATCGCTTGGTGGTACCTAGAGCCTCACTCACGAAAGCAATTGGGTGCCCCTTTTGAGATAAAACTGTCCCGATTCCGAATCCAGATGCATCAGTTTCAACCACGAAATCCTCATTGAAGTTCGACAAGGCGAGGATTGGGGTTGATGACATAGCCAACTTAAGAGCCTCAAATGCTTTAGTTGCCTCTCCATTACATCTAAAGTGCCCTTTTAACAATAGTTGAGTCAATGGCCGAACAATGAGCCCATAATTTTGAACAAATTTTCGATAATATCCTGTCAAACCCAAAAACCCTCTCAAAGCTGTCATAGTGACTGGAATGGGTCAGTTCATCATGACTTCTACCTTCCGTGGGTCAACTCGGACTCCTACCCTTGAGATGAAGTGCCCTAAATATTCTACCCCGATTTGGGAAAAAAAAACATTTGGCAAGCTTAATGTAAAACTGATTTTTTGATAAAATTTCCATAGTTATCCGTAGGTGTTCTAACTTCTAAATGCTCTTCTTGCATTTTGACTGTAAACTAGAATATCGTCAAAGAAGACCAATATGAACAACCTGAGATACGGTTTGAATATGTCATTCATAGCTGCTTGAAAGGTGGAAGGTGCATTGCATAATCCAAACGATATGACGAGGTACTTGTAGTGTCCATTATGAGTTTGAAACGCCATTTTTGGAATGTCATCCGGGGGTGAACCCTAATCTGGTGGTAGCCCGACCTTAAGTCCAATTTTTAAAAGTAGGTGGCTCTATGTAGCTCATCTAACATATCATCAATCGTGGGAATCGGGAATCTATCCTTGACAGTCACCTCATATAGGGCCCTATAATCTGTGCAAAACCTCCAAGTCCCATCTTTCTTTTCCACAAGAAGTACTGGAGATGAAAACAGACTGGTGTTTGGCTGTATGAGACCAGATTCCAATAGTTCTGCCACCTGCCGCTCGATTTCATTTTTTGAAAGTGAGTGTATCTGTATGGTGCCACATTCACTGCTATCTTTTCATCCTTAAGCCGTATTCGATGATCATATGTACGGCTGGGTGGTAACTCGCGCGTGTGCGGGTGCAAGTATATGTTCGAATTGATGGAGGATCTCTTGAACATCTGTTCGGTGAGTATGTGCCTCTTTTCCTTCTTCTGATGTTGGTTGCTGACCAAACATCACTTTATGGTTTTCCCATTTAAGTATAAATGGGAAACTATGCATTTAGCCATTGCATGTAAGTTGGCTCCATGTCTCCAATCCTCTATCAGTGCATGTATTGTTACCAAACTTGCTCCCCTCTTGGCTTTTGCCTTGATGGCATATGGTACTCCCATAACCGAGAACTCCATGGTCATGTCTCTATAATTAGCGACTATTTTACCCAATCCATTTAGCCACTGCATCCCAAGTACAAGATCCATACCTGTAATAGGTAGGGCGTAAAGAGTGGTATTGAAAGTATATCCCTGAATAGTGATTGAGTTGTGCTCATATTTTTCAGTACACCATAATCGCTCTCCACTAGCGATTCAGGCAGCAAAGGGTTTGATGGTGGTAACCACCAATCTCAATCTCTCTTCCACTGCTTGATTAATAAAATTATGGCTGGACCCGGAGTCGATTAGGATGTCCACCGATTGAGGTTGCAAAAGACCTTGCATTCACATGGTTTGTGTCTCTATTCCTCTGGCAAGGGCATGCAAGGAAACTGAGGGGCTGTCTTGTATATCTTCTTCCTCAAATCCATCATTTTTTATTATCTGTTAATTCCCACTCCCCTTCATCGGTATCGTCTTCAATGACAAACTGTGACGCTTTACATCAGTGCCCGGGAACAAAATTTTCATCACAGTTGTAACACAATTTCTTTTCCCTTCGTGCCTTCATCTCCTCCACATTTTTTAGAAGGAAAGATCATCTCCTCCACAGTTAACCGTCATATTCCTGTATCTTAACTCCCCTTTAGATTCATGAGTCCTGGTGCGCTGGCCTAATTCATTCTACCAAAGCTGGTGGATTTTTGTGCCTTAAGGGATTTTTTTTGCTTTTCTGCATTTTGTCATCAATCCGTCTGGCCAACTCGATTGCTTCCGTTAGTTTATGTGGATTGAAGAGGCGAACTTCTAATGACAGGTCTTTCTTCAAACCTTCCAAGAAAGTTCCAAGCAGAGCCTTAGATTTCCATCCAGACACATGAGTTGATATTCGTTCAAATTCCTTCAAGTATTCCCTAAAAGTCCCGGTCTGTAGTATTTTACTTAGAAGCTCATCATAATTTTCAAAGTTTGAGGGACCAAATCTCTTCAGGATACCTGCTTCAAATTGACGCCAAGATGCCTTGCCCCTCTTTTGGCGTTTGGAAAATCATTGCCACCAGAGGTTTGCTTCACTTTCAAGATGGAAAGAAGCCAACATGATCTTATGCCGACCTTGAATGCCTTTCACCATAAAGTACTATCGAGTGTGGTCAAGCCATATGAGGACGTCTTCTCCTAAAAACTTGGGGAAATCAAGTTTACACTTTTCACTTCTTGTTTCCCAAAATTATTCCTATTAGATTTGCCTGACCTGTGGGACGAACTGTTGTGCTTGCTGTCGTCTTCTTCGCTGTGAGAGTCATCTTCTTTGTTGTGAGATGGAGAGGAATCAGAGGATGAGGATGAGCTCGGTTGTTGCCTGCGTCTTCCTGATGAGCTCGGTTGTTTCCTGCGTCTTCCTGATCGGTGGGTCGTTAATGGTGATCTGGATTGCCTCTCTAAAGATTTCTGGATGGAATCCATGGTAATGGCCATGGTGCTAAAGGACTCGGTGATTTGGGCTAGGGATTGCTACATATGATCTAATCGCTCCTTGTTGGTCATGATTTTAGCCGCCAAGAAAGCTGGCTCTGATGCCAATTGATGAAACAGCCTTGCTTACGGTGCAATGAAACCGTTTCTATCTCATGGTGATAGAAGACCAAATTTAATTATACAGCTCTCAATAATCTTTATTGATAAAGAAGAGGTATGTATTTACACCCCTATACATACGTAATAACATAGGAATATGAATCCAAAGCAAATATTAATCCTACTTGCTAGGAATACACATTATACTCCAACTCTACTAGCTAAATAAATATTAATACGGAAATAGAAAGTCTAAAAAAAATCTGGCAGCACTTCTAATTTACCACGTAGTCTTGAAGCCTCGTTGAGCTCTTCCTAACTCGTTTACTTTGTCAGTGATTAAACCCGTCATCATCAACACACACACACACGCATATATACATGTGCACATCGTAATTTTCTTCTCTTTGAAAATCAGGCTCATTTGACACCTCAAACTGCGACGAATTTCGATTTTCAAAAGTATATCAAAAGATCACTAGAAACAGATTTCAAGGTCGTTGTTGGAATCAGGTTTGTTTTTGCTCAATATACTTAACATGTTATTCTGATATAGTAGATTTAAGAAGTTGAATTTGTTTTTTGTTATAAAACAAAGAGATAAAAACACATAAATACGTAAATAAATAAATAAATAAATAAATAAAACACTTACTAACATTTGTGCATTATGTGTTTTTTCAATATGTAGTCCTCCGATGTGGCTATTTGCAGTTTCCTTTCTTCTGTTCAATACTCACGGTAAGTAAAATTAAATTATTCAAACCTAAGATTAATGATGATCCAAGTAGTGCATTGTGTTTCTCATGCACAAGCATATATATGCATGTTCAATATAAACTAAGTTCTTGATCTATTTGAGTTAAAATATCAATTAATATACTTTTCATTAAATGTGTCTCCATGAAATTGGAATATTGAATAATTAAATGGCATAGTCTATATCTTTTTATTTTGATTTGGACAGGCTGGTACTCTTATTTATGGCTTCCGTTTCTTCCCCTAATTGTAAGTTATTCCTAGTAATTATGTACTTATGAAAGAACCATGTTTGTGTGTGTGTTTTTTTGGACAATTCTTTCTAACCTATATAGTATCTGCTCAATGTTAATGCCAACATCCTTAAACTGGGATGAGATTCGAACTTGTGACCTCCCCCTTGGAAGTGTCACAGTGATACCATCAGATCACAAAGTACTTGACATGTTTGTGTGTGTTTATTCAATTGTGGAACAATAAGTATAGATCACTTGTATTAAAAATAATATTTTTTTACTAGAAAGCACCTATATTGATATAATTAAAATCACGATCCTACATCATATTCGAAAAAATCAATACAGACTACAACTCTCCTCCTCCAATCACAATTGATAACCCTATGGTTAGACTTAGAGAGACGATCATCTTTGATAGAGCAAAGTCAAATGTTGAACACCAAAAAGGTAATAAAAAAAATCGCTAGTCATTATATCCATGTACCTCTAACAACATCAAAATTTCTTCCCTTCATTGGGAAATAAGGAATAAGAAGATCTATAATTCAAAGATCTGAAAATCATTCTACAACTAGATAAGCCACGGAAAAAGCTACTTCACCACCGAAGTGAACTACCACAGGCCAATTTTTGGTAGCAACAATGATTTTGTACTCGTCCTTCATTCAATTTCAAATACTTGGCACAATCGCCTCATAAATTAGGCCACGATTGTGGATCAAGGGTGAGTGACTTGTGTGATGCATCTATATCTGGGATGATCGAGAATAACCTGCCAAGTTCGCTCTACATTGTCGTTTAGATTGAAAAAACCTCATAGTCAATAATGGTCTTATGAAGCAGATTAAGAGAGCTTTTGTTAACATTAGAAAACACAATGAGATCATCAACATAGGACAAACAAATGGGTAACCAAATGGACACTTGTATGACAAATAAAACGACCACCCCTAGTTGCAAACAAATTTTTTAATGTTGGGAAACGGTCTAACTTAGAATGATAAAAAGAATAGGAGAATGAGAATCCTCCATTTCACACCCCTTGAGGTATTCAAAAACCCTTTGGGTTTCCATGAATTAAAATGGAACACCAAGTAACATTGAAGTTATTAAGGATCATATTAGTGAATTGGGGATGAAAATCATACGTAAGAAGAACATGTTTAATAAAAGCCTAGGAACACCTATTAAAAGCTTTAATCATGTCAATCTTGAAAATGATAGTATGCCCCCTAACTTTTTGTCAAGACTATCTATGAGCTCCTGAATGATGAGGATTTTAGTCCGTTCTTTTATAAATGTGTGTTATTAGTCTCATAATTTACTTGCGTGTACATTATGTCCTGCAACTAATAATATTGTAAACATTACGGAGTTTTTCATCGAGATGTATAATCTCTGACAAACACTGCTCAGAAAAGCTTCTATTGGTATGGAAATTTCTACAATAAATAGTACGTTCATGTGAAAAAGTCCATAACATAGACTATAATTTGAAGGTGAGTAAAATTACATAACTAAAAATGGGCACATACATGAATTACGGGTTAAAACTATATTTGTCTCATAACAATAACTAAATAAAAGATCAATGTGTTCTTGGATACATAATAAAAGACCAATGCTAATGGACTAGAACAAATAGTTTCAACTAATACTATGTATAATGTCCTAAAACACTAGCATTATTAGTGATATAGTGGATTTAATTTTCAATATCTCAATGGCATGATCTTTTAGATTTTTTAAAAGTAAATCGACTATATTTTTAAGGTAAAAGTAGTCTATATTAATATACTCCCTCCGTATTTCAAAGTTCTCTACATTAGGTTTGGGCACAACATTTAAGAGGGAAATAACAGGGGTAATGAATAGTGTAGAAAAAGTAGAGAGAAGATGGAAAAATATGAAAGAAAAAATAAAAAGTAGAAAAAGTAAGAGTAATTTAGTATTTTTAAAGGAAGAAACTTACCAAAAAAGGAAAGTGTGACAAACTTTTAAATACATTCAAAAAAGGAAAGTATGACAAACTTTAAAATACGGAGGGAGTAATAGAAATCGTGAATCTTATATCATACTCTAACTCAAATCTTCTCTCTCACTAGACTCATAATAATCAAGAGGTCCCTTCACATCCTTATCGGTCATAGAAAAGTTTACCCAAAGTTGAGTAAAATTTTTCGTTGGACACGCAAGAGCTTTGAAACAATTATCGGCATTAGAACCCTCAATACCTCCAAAAGTAGTAAAACTAAACATGACAAGACTGGCACCAACACACACAATTCAAAAATATCAGCAGGGGCATGGCGTCTAACGCCGTTAGAAAATCTAACCCCGATTTTCAAAAGTCTCCAAAACATTAAAAGAAAAATACAAGGAGGTGCGCCTCGTCAAGGAGACCAACAAAATGTCATTCTCTTCGAATTTTTCGGCTCTATTTGGATTTTTTTAAAATGAATTTGTTAATATCATTTTTCCGGCGGATTTTTGGCGGCATGGTGGCTGCAAACAAAAAAAGAATGATAGTTTGTTGGTCTCCTTGACGAGGCGCACCTCCCAGTGTTTTACTTTTAATGTTTCAGAGACTTTTGAAAATCAGGGTTAGATTCTCTAACGGCGTTAGTCGTCATGCCCGTGCTGCGATAACGGAATTCAAACATGTGTCTCACTTTGTTAAAAAATGAAACACGTGCCCCTATCTAAAAATAGCTCAAATCATATGTACCTTTTTTGTATAGGTGTAAAATTAGAGAAAAAAACCGCAGGTCGCCAAACTCCAACTTGAAATGTCTTCTTCCAAACCTAAGCAACATATTCACTTCATTAGTGTTGGTTCAAGAGGGGGACAGACGATCGGTATCGTCAATTTAAGATTGAACGTAACGCCTCCTCGCTGCTCATTGCCGCCCCTGCACTCCAGATGCTCGATGACATTCAGCTAATGGAGTCCAAAACTCTGCCTTGCTGCTTCCAAAGCCATGTCTCTCTTTCTTCCCTACTCATCTGTGATAGAAATCCCCTACGTGATTGGCCTAAAATTAAACCTTCAATTCAACAAAGGTTTGTGGGTTCCAAACTAAACCCTATGCTCGAACGAAGCTTAAAGAGGCTCTTCCACAACACTTCTAGCTTGATCGTTTATATAAACTACATGTCACATTGATTTAAGTAATTATACTCCGTATTATTTATATCACTGAAAAAAATGATTGAAATAACAGTTCATAGTATGTACAGATTATATTGTTGGTTGGTGCCAAGTTGCAAGTGATCATCACAAAGATGGGGCTAAGGATTCAGGATAGGAATGAAATTGTAAAGGGAGTTCCAGTGGTTGAGCCGGGTGATGACCTGTTCTGGTTCAACCGTCCGCGACTCATTCTGTTTCTCGTTAGCTTTGTTCTTTTTCAAGTATGTGTGCACATATTTTACGAATGGCACATAGGAGTAATATAAATGGTTTTTTATAAGAATAGTACTAAAATAAAACATATTTACATAAATATGACTATCATTACTACAATGTGGTGTTGCGGTAACTTAAGCTCAAAACTTGAACATGAATTACTATGATTTCATTACTACTCTAGTCACTAATCATATTTTTGTAAATCATCTTTACTTTGATCATATTTATTTAATTATTTCTAATATAAACCAACTCAAAATATACACAAAATGTGCATATATAAATTTTACATCTCAATATAGGAGCAAATTATACTCTTTCTTCATATTTTCTCCTTACCATATTTTATTAAGAAAATCATATTTGTATTTATAATAAAAACATATAAATAATAAATATGTATTTATTTATCATCATTAAACCAATAATAATATGTACTTTAGAAACAATTTTTAATAATATCAATTGCTTGAATATATAACAAATATAATATAGAGCCACTTTTTCACTACAAATACACTAAATACTAATATTAAACCATCGAATATAGGTTATTCCAAAATTGGGTCACTTGCTTAATTTAATGACATTAATTTTTGTATTAGTTAAATGATTGAACTTCTAATGACAATAGCTATGTACTACTTTTGTTTTGTAATCTTTTTTTTTTCTTTTTACTCCAGGGGGCGTCTGGGGGAGGGGGCTGGGGGAGTCTGGAGTAATCTAGTCTAGGTTGAAACTCACTCCTGTAAGGGAGAGTGAGTTGGCGACCAGTTGGGCTGGACCGCTCATTGTTTTATAATCAAATACTTCGTATATGGTATTATTGAATATTATTTTTAAATTATGAGTTATTCTTGAGTTGTGAGTAATTAATAGTTTGTATTACTTAAAATTGTTTTCCTGATAAAAACACAAAAATTGAAAAAATAATAGCAATAACATTATTATGGACTCTCAGCACCACCATCTCTGACTGCCAAAAAAACTCATCTTGTGTAAAAAATGTCACATTTCTTTAAAATTACATGAAGATGACATTATTATTCTTCAAAAATGTAAAATTTTATTTGCTCTACAATTGCAGGTTAGTATTTTTTTCCAGTGGTCGAAGGTGGTGGTGCTAGAAGGCGGGCAAGTCCTGCTTTTTACATTTTTGCGTCTTTATCACAAATAAATAATATTCTTATTAAAATATGGCAATGGTTAGAGAGGAAGAGTTACTCAAATTTTAAAAATTGAAAACCTATACTCCTACTCTTACGATTTAGGTAATTTACTCCTATTTAGCGAATTAACAATGTACATTGTCGAATTTTAATTTTAAAAGTACCTTCTATTAACTATATATTCTAATTAATTAACATTTAATGCAGAATGCATTTGAATTGGCCTTCTTCGCTTGGACTTGGGTAAGCTAATATTGGTAACTACTGACTACTTTAAATTTTATGATGACAAAATATTAAAACTGGTTTCTTTTTTTTTTTTGTTGGCGTGGGGTTTGTTTTCTAGTATACATTTGGATTGAGGTCATGCTTCCATGAGCATTTGGAGGATATCATTATCAGATTCGCTATGGGGTAACTACCTCTTAAAAGAGAACTTCTCGATAATGCATTGATTTTATTGTTAATATTAATAACACACAATTATGTGGCCTTTTAGCATTATTATACAGGTTCTGTGCAGCTATGTAACCCTTCCTCTCTATGCCCTTGTAACGCAGGTAACTAATTAATCATTATTGAATTCAAGAAAAGAAATTTATTTTGAGAAAATTAATATTAATTCTACATTATATACTATCTACACTCTCGGACAATGGACCAGACTAGACTAAAATAGATCAAACCAAGTCAAACTTAAACAGATTAGACTAAAATAGACTAGACTTCACTTATAAAATACACATAGACCAGATATGTACCGGGTATGTATCAGATCAGAACAACCAATTCAGATCAAATAATTAAGACTTAAAACGATAAGACCATAAAATTTCAGTTCTATTAAGACACACCTTGTCCTGTTTTACTCGGGCATTGGCCAAGCTACTAATCACCCAAACTAGGATATACTACGTGTTAATTAACCGTTTAATCCAACTATCATAAAGGTTAATAGATTCCTATATTTTGTGGTCTTGTTGTCTAGTAATATGAATGTTTCAATCACCAGAATCATGAAGTCGTGAATTTATCTATCTTAACTGTTTTTATAGAATAATTGTTCTTTTTTTATTAGTTGCAAACTTGCAACCTTGTTCTAAAAATCGCTCTAGGCGTCTGACTAGTCCCTGCCTAGGCGCTAGCCGGTGGTCGGGCGCCCCGATTTTTGTCTAGGCGCTCCGACTAATTGGTTTGAATTAGATGGCCGCCTATGGCGCCTAGTTGCCCTCCTAGAGCGCCTAATCAGCCGCCTAGGCTGTCTAGCTAGATTCGCCAAATATTACTTTACTTTTTAATTTCAATTTTCTAAGCGATATATGTACTTTAGTTTTAACCATATGGATATAAAGAAATGAAGTTGTAAATTAAGATAAAACTATACATGTTTCTATATATATTCCTAAATTTCATCATTATTTATATTTATAGCATAATAAAATTAAGTGATTAATTATCATATACTACGCATGATTAAGTGTGATGATTCTATCATTCATGTTTGTTAATGTAAATGTATATATGTATTTTATACACAAAAAAATACAATATTACTTATCATATTTAAGCAAAAATGTAGGTAAAAATGCAATTTCTTTGTCTCCGACTAGGCACCCGCCTAGCTGCCTAGGCGCTAGGCGTTGGGCTGGCGCCCGACTAGCACCTAGCGCCTTTTAGAACATTGCTTGCAACACTTCTTTTTCTCAAACAATGATTTGCTAGTTCTCATTTTCTAAAACAATTGATGAATGAAAAATTAATAGAACAATAATTTTATATTGTAAATCAAGTGTAACGATGGTGCGGTTGTATGAGAATTTTACACTGCGTACATTTTATTTTATTAATTAATGCCCAACAAAATTACGGAATATTTTTTAGTCTATATGAACATGTTACTATAAATTTGTTTTGTTTCTTAGGAGTGTTTGGAAGTTGGAACTGATTCTGATTCTGCTTATTTTTTAAAACAGTAGTACAATCAGTTTTCAGAAACTGGTTTTCCTCATCTTCTAAAAAACTGCTTTTAGGAGTAAGTTAGAGCACCAAAAGTACTTCTACATTTTCGTCCAAATACTTCCACGCACTTCTGTTTCTGCTCCCCGAAAGAGTAAAAGAAACCATTTTAATAATTGGATTCAAACACCACCTTAATATTGAGAACAGAGTATATATATGCGGCATTCATATAATGTAATATGGACAAAATGCAGATGGGTTCAAATATGAAACCAACCATTTTCAACGAGAACGTCGCAAGGGCATTGAAAGGCTGGCATCACACAGCGAAGAAACGAATAAAAGATCATAACAAAATTGAGAGCGCTTCCGTGACACCTACATCAAGCCGTCCGGGAACACCTTCTCGGCACGGCATGTCTCCGGTGCACCTCCTCCGCGGCCACGGCTTCTACCGAAGCGAGATGGACGCGGCGAGTAGTACTCAATCAATTGGGCGTGATAAACCCGAGTTCGACGACTTATATGAGCATTGGGGACGCAGTGATGACAATGGTGGTGGCTCACAATCTCCGCCACATTTCGTTGCCAGCCATGTTGATGGAAGACAATCACGATATGGACCATCTTCTTCTTCGAACAATATAATTCAACAAGATGATGGTGATCATGATGATGTTAAAAATATTAATGATGATCCCACCAACTTGTTGGAGCTGGTTCGTGTCCCTTTGCAGAAACACGAAATCATCAATATTGAGGAACAAAGTGATTTTTCTTTTGTTAAGAGATTGAACTAAAATGATGGAAATTGTCTACAATTTATAATTATTGTACAGAATATAATTTCACTTGTGATCGCGCTATTTCCTCGCACAAAAACAATACTTGCATACCAATATGGTGTAAGTTTGTATGTTTAGGTCATTTTATTTTATGTGCCTTATGGTTCCATTACAAATTCAATTTGTGTAGCAATATACAAGTATACAGCAGTTTAAGTATCCGTTTGTTAATTTCTATTTTTACCTTATCGGCCCCTATCAGACTATCAGTCATTTAATCATTTATTATAATAAATACATAATTTTTATTTCACGCGTTGAATTGTGTAATAATCAGAATAAGTAAGTTTATAGTTACTTTTGTGGGTGAATTAGTTAAACTTAGTGTAGATGACCATTTTAGCTATTTTTCATATAATTATTTATTTATTTTATTAATAAAGTATTTCATACTACATATATTTTAAATATAATATTTTCATAATTCAGTAGATTCATCCAATTCTGCTGCTACAGCTAGAATTTTACCAATTTAAGAAGATTCAGTTTATTCATGTGAAGATATGAGTATTGTTAGAAGTCTTGTTATTACAGTTAGTCGTATATACTTGTTATAACAAAATTTTAACTGTATTAACAGTTCTATACACTTCTATAAATACTGATGTACTCAGACTGTCAATGAATAATTCTAATTCTTTGGTTAGTAAGAAATGCATTTTTCTCAGTTCTATACTCAAACATTTCCACATGGTATCAGAGCCATTCATGGCTTCTGAGGACCGAACCACCGAATTCCGCACTTAATTCCGCCATTAGAGACGAGCAGTAAAACTTGGAGAAGTTACTAGTTCTAGACGATCCTTCTTCAAACAAAATTATTACTGTTCTAGCAGTAATTGTTGACGAATCCATCGAATTAAAACTAATTCGAGATCTACAAATCAAAATGCCGACTTCAGAAAACTCAGTTCACAATCAACAAATCTCTGGCCACGGATCGTACAAGGATCCCTATTATCTTTCTCCTGGCGATAGCTCTTCCAACAATCTCACAGCTGAAAAGTTTGACGGAAACAATTATTTGAACTGGTCAAGAGGAGTTAAAATGGCGCTAATCTCCAAAAACAAACTTGGATTTGTCACAGGTAAAATCAAACAGCCTGAAGATGATGATGATGCGTACCAGGATTGGATGAGAATTGATTATACAGTATTGTGTTGGATTTTGCACTCTATGATACCGCTTATGGCTAAATCTATGATGTATGTGACATCATCCAAGCAGCTTTGGGATGAACTCAAGGAAAGATATAGCCAAACAAATGCACCGTACCTCTACCAACTGAAAAGAGATCTAACAACAATTAAACAAGAAGGAAAGCCTGTTGCAGAATACTATGGAAGGATGAAGACAGTTTGGGAGGATATCAATGCTTTGGATCCATTACCAGTATGCGAATGTGGTTCTACAAAAAATTGTTGACAGGGATAATAGGAACAAACTTCTGGAGTTTCTTATGGGATTGGATGATACCTATGAAACCATAAGAAACCAAATTCTTGCTATTGATCCTTTACCTTCTGTGAATCAAGCATTCTTCCGTGTTCAGCAAGTTGAGATGCAGAAAACAATTACTGCTCATTATAATGAAGCTTCTGAAGGAATAGCTATGGCTGTGAATAAATACAACAAGAAAGGACCTGAGCAGAACAAATTCATGACCAAGGCAGATCATCAGAAACTTAAGCTTGAAAAACAATCATTAATCTGTACACATTGCAATAAGAAAGGACATTTGATGAAAGATTGCTTTGAAATCAAAGGTTATCCGGATTGGTTCCAAGGTTACAAAGGAAAAATAAATTCAAATTCTGGATTTAAGGACTCAGAAAATGGTACTGGACATAAGAGGTTTGCTGGGAATGTTGAAACAAACAATAAACCAATACCTGATACAACCACATTTGTTGGAAATGCTATTTCTAACAAGAAACAGAAAGGTGTAATGCAAGAATTTCAAAATGAAGTTGGTGAATCTGGAATTGAATCACAATTTTCAATGCTAAGACAGATGGATCCAAAGGTTGTTCAAACTTTCTTGTCTCAAAGGAACAATAACAATTATGAGTATGAGGTTGGTTCAGCGTCATCCAGTTTCAATTTAGCAGGTATGATTCTTGCTTTCCATACAGATTCAAGTTCAAATAATTCTATGTCCACAAATTGGATCATTGACTCTGGAGCATCTGACCACATGACATGTGATATCAAAGGACTACAGAATAAAACATCATTGATTAAGCCTGTATTCATTGCATTACCTGATGGTTCCGTTATAAAGGTTGATCTCATTGGAGATGTGATATTATCTAAGGATATTATTTTACAAAGAGTTATGTATATTCCTGAGTTTAAACATAATCTGCTATCCATTGGTAAACTCCTCAAAAATACAAAGCTAACAGCAGTTTTTGATGAATCTGGCTGCTTTATTCAGGGCCCTTTGGTTGACAGGAAGATTTGTTTGGGGAGGAAGAAATCAGGCTTATACATACTTGAAGTTGATGACAGCATAAATAAAGCATTTGCATGTTCCTTAGATAGGAATAATTCTCCTGTTCTAGAAGAATCAAGTTCTGAACACATAATGTTGTTGCATGCTAGACTAGGTCATTCATCCTTGTCCAAGTTACAACATTTGTATGATACTTCTGTTTTCAATAAGGTGAAGAGTTTGTCATGTGAAACATGTATTTTAGCCAAACATCACAAGTTACCATTTGATAGAAGCAACTCTTTGACTTCAGCTATGTTTGAGCTAGTTCACATAGATTTATGGGGTCCTTACAAGTGTAAATCACTTACAGGAGCTTCATATTTCCTTACTATACTTGATGATCACAGTAGAAACACCTGGACTTATCTAATAAGGGATAAAACTGAGGTTTTTAACATAATCTCTAGTTTTCTTACCTATGTGGAGACACATTTTGAATCCAAAGTAAAGAATATCAGAAGTGATAATGGCACAGAGATTGTTCAAGTTGCTTGTAATCAATTCTTCAAGGAAAAAGGAATTATACATCAAAGAAGTATTCCAGGAAATCCTCAGCAAAATGGCAGAGTAGAAAGAAAGCACAGACATCTATTAGATACTGCTCGTGCATTGAGAATTCAGGCTGAATTACCTAAGAAATTTTGGGGAGAGTGTATACTGACTGCTACCCATTTGATCAACATCATGCCATCTTCTAATCTCAATTGGAAAACACCATTTGAAGTTCTTCACAAAAAAAAACCAAACTATCAACACTTGAGAGTGTTTGGCTGCCTATGTTATGCAGCAACAAAACCTGTTGACAAAAAATGGATAAAAGAGCAATCAAATGCATCATGTTAGGTTATCCTTTTGGTCAAAAAGGATATAAATTGTATGATATTGATTCTCAGAAGGTTTTCCTAAGCAGGGATGTGATCTTCAAAGAAAATATATTCCCATTCAAAGGCCACAGTGAATGTTCTTCTGACCTATCTGAAACATTTTTTCCACTTGGAAGTTTTCTTCCAACTCCTGAAAATACACAAACCATTCAACCTGACACATCTCTAACACCTTCAATACCTGAAGCTCAACATTCAACTTTACCTCAATATGAAATTCCAGTTCCTCCTAACATATCTCAAAATCACATTTCAAACATCATTGATCAACCACAGAGAAAATCATCTCGAATAAGGGCTATACCACAAAAACTCCAAGATTTTATTTGTAAAGATATCCCAAGATCTTTACTTCCAGAATTACAAAACAATACCTCAACAACCTCACAATTTGCCAATATGGTTTGTTCTTCTTTGAACATGTTTGCTTCTGATTATGTAACATCATTGGCAAATACATTTCAAGTCTATGAACCTGTCACCTTCAAAGAAGCTGTGAAAGATGAGAAATGGATATCAACAATGCAACAAGAACTTCAAGCTTTGGAGAAAAATAACACATGGGAACTTACTTCCTTACCCATGGGAAAGAAAGCCATAGGAGCCAAATGGGTATATAAGATTAAGTTCAAACCTGATGGAACAGTTGAAAGATACAAAGCTCGTTTGGTTGCAAAGGGATACAACCAAATCAAAGGAAAAGACTTCAAACATACCTTCAGCCCTGTAGCAAAGTTTACCTCTGTCAAGACACTCATTGCTATAGCTGCTGCAAAGAACTGGAAAATACACCAATTGGACATCAATAATGCTTTTTTACATGGCTTTGTTGATGAAGAAGTTTACATGGAAATTCCAGAAGGATATAATGGAGCTCAACCTGGACAAGTATGCAGACTAAAGAGATCACTTTATGGCCTAAAGCAGGCTTCTAGACAATGGAACCTTGAACTCACCAAATTCCTAAAAAAGTTTGGCTTTCAACAGTCTAGACAAGATTATTCCTTGTTTATCAAGTCAGAAGGACAATCCTTTATCATTGTACTTGCCTATGTTGATGACCTACTCATTACAGGGAACAATGAAACCCAGATTCTTCACATCAAACAAGCACTGGATAAGGCTTTCACCATAAAAGACCTTGGACCTTTGAGATACTTCTTAGGCATAGAAGTTGCTAGAAATTCCACAGGAATCATTCTAAATCAAAGGAAATATATCTTGGATATTCTCCAGGATACTCATATGATAGAATGTAAACCTGCTACATTTCCTATGCCTACTGGACTCAATCTTTCCAGTGATACTAGTGATCTTCTTCCAGAACCAGATCAATATCGCAGACTTGTTGGAAGGCTGCTATATCTCAATCTTACTAGACCTGACTTATCTTACACTGTGCAACAACTCATCCAATATCTGAGTGCACCACGTGTTAATCATATGAATGTAGCACTCTATCTTGTCAGATATCTCAAATTTACAATCAATCTGGGATTGTTTTACCCTGCTCAAAATTCCCTAAATCTGACAGCTTATTGTGATGCTGACTGGGGTTCATGTTACTTAACTGGAAGGTCACTAAGTGGTTATTGCATTTTTCTGGGTCACTCACTCATATCCT